GGAAGAGTAAGAGGTGGTGGGACTATTCTAACCATTTAGGAATAAGTAGACAGAGTAATAGTAAAGTTGGCTGATGAAGGCAGGTGATTAGAAGGTTTAATGATTTGGGTGGGCACAACCTTGGTGTACCCAACCTGGTGTGTGATTGTGAATTGGGGCAAGCCTAGAGACGTAGCCCTAGTTTTGTTGTCCAGTTGAGAAACCTAACAAGAAGCAAGAAGTAATTTTTCCCAGTCAAGAAGCCCCAACAAGTTGGCAATGATGATTATTAGAAGGGCTGTAGAAAGATATGCACAGGGCAGTGCATAGAGCACTGGCCCTGGAGTCAGAAGGACCTGAGTTCAAATGTGACCTTAGACACTTGACACTTACTAGCTGTGTGTCCCTGGGCAATTCACTTTACCCCGACTGCAAAATAAAGAAAGGAAGGAAGAAAAAAGAGAAAATAAAAGAAAGAAAGTTATACTCACTAATACTCTGCTGGTGCAGCTGTGAATTGGTCCTACTGTTTTGGATTGCAATTTGGAATTATGCAAAGAAAGTGTCCAAAATATCCATACCATTCCAAATGCTGAATATATTCCCCAAGGAGGTCAAAGATAGAAATAAAGGTCTCATTTGTATTTTTTTAAAAATTTGGTAGTATTGTTTGGTAGAAACAAAATAGATGACCACCAACTGGGAAATGGATTAATAAACTGTGGTACATGAATGTAATGGAACATATTGCTTCATTAGAGAGAAATATCAACTGATGAAGAATAAGTAAAGAGCAGAGACAAGTAGTACCAGGAGAATATTTATCGTCATGGGAAGAGAGTTTGGAAATGACAGTGAGGAGGGCAAAAAAGCATACTGACTCCTCTTCTTGACTCAGTGGAATGAATGAAGATAAATCCAGTGTTGGAGAGAGTAGACAAGTTCACATCTTTGGTCCTGACTCTTTCTTCTCCATCATGCTCAATACTCAACCATTGCCTTGTAGTATTGTTTCTTCCTCTACAAAATCTTGGCCATCCATTTCTCTCACCTGAACTATTGTAATAGCTTATTAATTAGCCTTTCTGCGTCTATTCTCCATGCTTCCTCCACTCCAGACATCATTTCCAACTTTTCTCCATAGGAACCAGGAACTCTGCTCCAAGAAATCATCTTGAGCTCTAATTAGAGGCAGCGAGGTAGCACAATTGATAGAGCACTGGACCTAGAATCAAGAAAACCTGAGTTCAAATTCAGCCTCAAATACTTACTAGCTGTGTTACCTTGGGCAAGTCACTTGACCCCTCTCTGTCTCAGCTGCAAAATGGGAATAATAACAACACCTACCTCTCAGGATTGTTGAGGATCAAATGAGATGATTTTTATAAAGCACTCGGCACAGTGTCTGGCACATAATAAGCACTATATAGATGTTAACTATTGTTATAATAGACCTCCCTATCATATCATTGGCCGCCAGGTCCAAACCATGCTGTCTCCACTGCACTTCTTCCCATATCCTCCCTTTTTCCCAGCCCCTATTTTTTGCATTTTCTTCTCCTATTAGAATGTAAGTTATTTGAAGGTAGGTATGGTCCTACTTGCTTGCTTGTATTATCTGTATTCCCAGCACAGTTCTTGGCACATGGTGTTTAATAAATACCTATTGATCATGTATCTATCTATTTTTCTAACCATCCTCACCCAATTCGTTCACCATACAGCCAAAATAGTCTTCTTAAGACATAGGTCTGATCATGCCACTCCCTTGTTCAAGAATCTTCAGTGACTTCCTATACCTCAACTACAGACTACTCAAACCAACATATTTAAGCTGCACTACAGTCTGACTCCAACCTTTGTTTTCTAGACTTACTTCATATATTTCCTTTTGGGAAACTGGGTTACTAAGTGTTCTCTGAACTTGACATTTAATTTCCTGTCTCCAAGCCATCTCCCAGGCCTGGAATGCACTCCATCCTCCTGTCTTGCCTCTTGAAACCTTAGTTTTTCTTCAAGATTTAGTCTAAGTACTGATTTTTTTTTCTGAAGCTTTACCTGATCCTTCCAGTTATTAATGTTCTCTTCCTTCTTGAACTGCTTTGTACTTATATATCTCTGTGTTGTATTCTGCCATTGCAATGAGAGTTCCTGGCAGAATGTTTTGTTTGTGTCTTTGTATCTCCAGCACCTGGAACAAAATTTTCTACTTAGGACACTGCTAAATTAAATTGATTTTTTTTGCATCAGTGTAGTGAGAGTCTCCCTCAAAGTCAGTCATCCTGGGTTTCTGGTTCCACATCTGATACATACTATCAATGAGACCCTAGGCAGGTCACTTAACAACTCTTTAAGACTATAAAGCACAAGGATCCAAGATGGTGGAGTAAGCAGTAAATTGCTCTCACTCTCCCTTATTGACCTTGAAAAACCCAGAGAATATCACTGCGGGAAAAATCCAGAAATAGTAGAGTCAGCAGAAAGACTAATACAGCAGTCTTCTAGCTCATGAAGGGTAGGGGGAGTAGGGGAAAAGTTCCTCTTGCTGTGGCTGAAGGGGACCCATTCAGGAAGGGAGGCGTCCCAACAAGCCAGGGGTAAGTCCTAGCTCGGCAAACCAGTAACCAGGACCCTAGCCCACAGCACAAGAAGCCAGGACAGCTCCCCCTGTGCAGAGATCAACTTTAAGAGCCAAGAAAAAAGGCAAACAACATGAGCAAAAAGCAGCAAAGAGAAACAATGACCATAAAGAAATATCTTGGTGACAGGGAAGATCAAAACACCAATTCAGGAGAGGACAACATTGTCAATATACCCACATCTGAAACCTCAGAGGGAAATAAGACTATAAAGTACAGAAGAGGCACCCACCTATTTTAGCAGAGGGAGTTTCCTCTCCTGGGAGTCCCCTATACCAATGAAATCACAGGTCCACTTCCAGTTCCAATCTCTATCTCTACCACTTATACCAATTTGGTAAGGAAAAACTAGAATTTCAGAAAGAAAGTAAATATTTATATTATGTCTACAGGGCATCCCTCAATAAATGTTTGTTGAATTGAATAGCAACTTATATTTACCTAGTATTTTATAGTTACAAACTTTACAAAGAACTTTGAGCCAAAAAAAAAAAACCACACACAATTTTAGAGTTATCTAATCCAACCCATCCTATTTAGCTGAGGCAGTGAGTTGACTCAGTGGCTAGAGTGCCGAGACTGAAGTCAGGATAGACCTGAATTCAAAACCAGCCTCAGACACTTACTAACTGTGTGACTCTAGGCAAGTCACTTAACTTCAGTTTCCCCAACCATAAAGTCTGAACAATAATAGCACCTCTCTCCAAGGGTTGTAAAGATCAAATGAGGCAACATTCATATAAGGCTTAAGACAGTGGCTGGCACATAGTAGTCACTTAATAAATCCATGTTTCCTTCTTTTCTTTCTTCATAGATGAGAAAAGGATGCCCAAAGAAATAACTTGTCCAGGGCTTATAGAGTAGCAAAGCCAAGATTCAAACCCAGGTCCTCTGACTGCAGAGGAAATACTCCTTCCAGAACATGCACATCCTCAGAATAGCTCGATATAAGGCAAAAGCCACATCAATATTATCCCAGGTTGACTGCTGAGGAAACCAAAAGATGAAATGACCTATCCAAGTTATGTGGCTCCAAGTTATGGAGCTGGGACTCATGTCTGGGTTTTCTGGTGGCAGCTAGGTAGCATGCTGGTTCTAGAGTCAGGACGACCTGAGTTCAAATCCAACCTCAGATAACTTACTAGATGTGTGACTCTGGGCAAATAACTTAATCTCTATCTGCCTCCATTTTCTCAATTGTAAAATGGAGATTACAATAGCACTTCCCTCATACGGTTGTTGTGAAGATCAAATGAGTTAATATTTATAAAGCACTTAGCATAGGGCCTAGCACACAGTAAATGCTGTATAAATTCTTATCCCCTACTCCTTCCTCCCCCTTCTAATGTTAAGTTCAGTCGCTGTATTATGCTGCTACTCTTATGAAAAAAATCATGTTCTTCTAATCAGTTCTATGACAAGGACCAGCATCCTGATATTTGGAGGCATGTAAATGATGTGACATTTCCATTTTGCTGTATTTTTGGTGGATTATAGTTTAGTGCAGTCATAGATGCTACAGGAATTTATAGACCAAGGAAGAAGGGTGGAATGTACAGACCAGAGAAGAAGAAAGGAATTTACAGACCAGGGAAGAAGGGGGACAAACAAAACATGAGCCAAATACCATTCAGCAAGGGATATTACCAGATACCACAGTCCATAGGACCTGGAGGCGCTGAACTGGCTGAAGCTAGATAGAAGGGGTCCATTGAGAAGCAAAGCCTTCCAAATAGATTTGAAAGAGAGGGATATACATGTTTTGGCAATGAGAAGGAAGAAGGCTATGCCAGGTTAGAGGAAGAGTTTTAGGAAGTCTTGGTGTTCTAGAAGAAGTCTTTTGGGTAAAGAGGGACCAGTTGGAGAAGAGTTTCAAGTTCATGACTGTGAGTGTTCGTTTAATTTAAGAGACACCTGGGAGCCATTGGAGGCTTCTTAGAAAGAGAATAACATAATCACAGTAACACTTGAGGGAAATAGTTTTCTTTGCTTTGGATAATGAAACCCAAAAAGGACAAACATAAAGTCTAGCTCACGATAAATAATCTTCAGTGACAAAAAGAATCAATTCATACTATTCTAATTTCCCCAACCTAACCTTCCCTTTCTAAATGTATGTGAATGGGAGAGGAGAAGATTGTCCTAAAGAATGTACCTGTTTATTTAATTAGGATAAACAAACCTGACCCAACACAATTCATGTAGTGATTGGCTGAAGCTATAAAACTGACAAGGAGGAAAGAAAAAAAAACTTTTGAAAAACAAATATAGACTGAACCTAATGCTTCCTCATTTTCATTAGGAAAAAAATTGAGAAATCCAAAGAAACAGATGAACAAGAAAGCACTTTAAAAAAATGAGTCACCTATTGACACATTCAGGATGAGAAACTATATAAACATCCCAGGCTGGATCAGCAATTACTGCACCAACCACAGGGCTGCAAACGGTAGTTTCTTGACAGCAATCATGCACTACTACTCCGCATTGTGCACCCTGAGTCTTCTGACATGCTGCCTTGCTTTTCCACTGCCCCGGGAAGCTGGAAAAATGAATGACCAACAATGGGGGAAAGCACAGGTAGGTACCTGCATTTTCTTTCCTAAGCCTCTATTAATTCAAGGAAGATACTACTAAGCATATTTGTACCAAGATGCTCTTTTAGCTCCATTTAGCAGTACTGTTTGTCCTGTTACATTTTTTTTGCATAGAAGACAGTGTTTGATCTGTTGGGCATTGTTTCCTTTAATACTACAGTCCACAAAACTATAATTTTAATGATAAATAATCCAAAATTTATTTTATCACAGCTTTCTACTTAGAAAATAGATTGGCACAGCTTGTCCAAAATTGATTGAAAGTTATTCAGACCCGTCTTTGAATCCTCCTGGGCCTCAGGAGTTGGGTTGTCATAGAACTGTTAAGGGAAGCCAGGATTGTAGCTCAGGAGGGTAAAATCTATATTAATTTAAGGAAAATGTTAGTGTCAATGAAAAAGTATTCATTAGAGAGCCAGCATAATATAGTGAGTAAAGAGTCATTCTCAGAACCATGAAGATCTTGGCTCGAGTCTCGTATCCGACACACAATGGTTGTGTGACCTTTGGCAAGTCACTTAATATTCTAAGCAATTCTAAGCAAGACTATAGGCTGCAGAGAAGAGGCCAACTTGCTTTGATAAAGGGAATTTCCTTACCCAGGAGTTCTCCTCCAATACCGGTGAAATCATAGGGCCAGACCATATCCTATTCAATATTAATTAAATACTCCTCCCTTTACTGTGAGATCCAGTGACAATGATCTCCTTGTTGTTCCTCAGACCCAACATTCCATCTTCCGACTCCAAGTATTTTCACTGCCTGTCCCTCATGCCTAGAACTAACTCTCCTCCCCTCTTCTCTCCCTCTCTCTCCCTCTCTCTCTTTTTCTCTCTCTCCCTCTCTCCTTTCTCTTTCTCTCTCTCTCTCCTTTCTCTCTCGCTCTCTCTCTCTCACTCTCTCTCTTCTTCTCTCTTCCTCTTCTCTCCCTCTCTCTCCCTCTCTCCCTCTTTTTCTCTCTCTCTCCCTCTCTCCTTTCTCTCTCTCTCTCCCTCTCTCTCTCTCTCTCTCTCTCTTCCCCCTTCTCTCTTTCCCTCCCTTTCTCTCCCCCCCCCCCTCTCCCTCTCCCTCCCTCTCTCTCCCCCTCTCCCTCTCTCCCTCTCTCTCTCTCTCTCTCTCTTTCTCTCTCTCTCTCTCACTCCATCCCCATCTCTGATTCTTGGCTCCCCTAACTTCCTTTAAGTCCCAGATAAAATCTCACTTCTACAAGAAGCCTTTGTCAATCCCTCTTAATACTAGTGCCTTCCCTCTGCTGATTATTTCTAATATATCATATGTGTGTGTGTGTATATGTACACATAGTGTGTGTATGTGTGTTTGTATGAAGTTGTTTGCATGGTGTCTCTCTCTTTGAGATCAGGGACTATCTTTTGCCTTTCTTTGTAACCCCAGTGCTTAGCACAATGCCTGGCACATAATAGGTGCTTATCTTAATTAAATGCTTATTGATTGACTTACTGACTGACAAGTGTCTAAAGCCAGATCTGAATTCCAGTCTTCCTAACTCCAGATTGAGTGCATTAGCACCTAACTAATAATAAACTATTAGCCTCTGATTTAATGAACAAAAGCTATCATCCCTCCTTTTTCTTATAGCATAATGGAAAGAGTATTGGGTCTGGAGTCAGAAGATCTGGGTTCAAGTCCTGGGCCTATCATGTATTTGCTGTACAGTCTTGAAAAAGTCATATCACTTTTGAGATTTAATGGGGACAATTAAACTTGTCATACTTCATAGGATTGTTGTGAGAATCAAATGAGATCATATATGGGAGAATATTTTTTAATTGTAAATTGCTATGTAAATGTAAGGCATGATTACCAATGTATAGCAGCATGTAAGATTTTTTTAAAACATTGATATCATTGCAAATGCTCTTGATGGAGGAAAAGATGGGGAAGAGGGAATCCTGAGGGGCTCCTAGTTTTGATCCAAAAGAATATGCTCTGAGTGATTTAGAACTTGTGGAGAAACCCTGGAATCAATGCATTCCCCTAAAGGTACTCTGGAAACCTAGTGCCAGTTGGGGGTCAGGGTCAATCTCATCTCAAAGGATCTGTGGGCTATAGCAAATGTCTCTTAACCACCTCAATTAAGGAAGGTTGAGGGACACTTTGAGGTGGTCATACCTCAATAACTTTGGGGTGGTCCTGAAGGCCTGAGAGATGAGTGGGTAAGAAGCCCAGCATAGAATCATAAAATCTCAGAGGGGACCTCAGAATCCTCCATTCCAGCATGTACCCTCTTTGATACTCAGACTTTGTTTAAAGACCTCTAGTTAAGTACAACCCCCTACCTCCCTAAGCAGCTAATTCCTTTTTTAAGTCATTCTAATAATTAGGAAGTTTTTTTCTTATGTCAAACCTGAACTTGCCTTCCCACAGTTTCCACCCATTCTTCTTAGTTTTGCTCTCTGGGGCCAAGCAAAATAAATCTAATCCCTCTAAAAAATCAAAGGTGCTAAATAAATATAAGTTTTGTTATTATTGTTATTATTATTAACTACAAAGTAGCCAGACAATTTTTAGCCGCTTGTAAAACAGGGAAATGAATCAAAATTGTATTCTTCAAATATATGTATACATACATACAAATGTAGCTATGTAAGTTGTATTTTTTTTAACCTATGTAGTTTTACAAATTAAATGAATAAATCTCAAGAGGGATTGGGGAAAAGTTTTGGGTTTTTTTTTTGCGGAGGCCATGTTATTATTATTATGTCCTGTGGGTACCTAAGAGGTGAAATAAACTATTTTGTTGGTTGGTTTTTAAATCAATTTAAATTGATTTAAATCAATTAAATCAAATTGTCTAACCGGCAACTCCCAATAAGAAGGAAACACACAATAATTTTGATAAAATCCTGGATTTTTAAAGCAAATAGCTTTTTCTCGCTCCTCTTAATGAACTAGGATTTGGGGGCAATGGCCAACTGGGCAGGTTGGCTTAAAAAGGAGAAGAAATAGTAAAAAATTGCTTTCATCCTCCATAACAGGAATACCTCAAGAATTTCTATTCATATGATCCTGAAGCACGAACAAACAATTTAGAAGACAAAATAAAAGAAATGCAAAAATTCTTTGGCCTACCACAAACAGGAATTTTAAATACCAACACCATGGAAATAATTCAGAAACCTAGATGTGGAGTACCTGATGTTGGAGAATTCAGTTTTTTTCCTGAGAGACCTAAATGGCTTTCCAAAGTAGTGACCTACAGGTTAGTTGCACTTTAGTTCATTTTGGCAAAGCAATAAAAACTATTGTATAAGGTATCAAATATCGCTTTCTTGTCTGGCTACCAGGGTCGTCTCTTATACTAAAGACATTCCTCGATCAACAGTGGATCATTTAGTAGAGAAGGCTCTTGACATGTGGAGTGAAGCTTCAACACTGACCTTCAAGAAAGTGAGGAATGGAAATGCAGATATTATCATTGGTTTTGCCAGAGGAGGTAACGCTGATCCTTTTAAGCACATCCATTTTTTTTCCAGTTTTATAATGAACTTGATAGACATCAACAAATACAATCATTTCCACATATAAAGAACAGGAGAGAATTGCATGTGAAATTATGCATCTCAAATACATTTGGCTATTTTTTAAACATAGCATAAATTTAACACTAATTAAAATACTGCCATGCTTGCCTGTGATTTTTTCCTGAACTTCCTTTTTTTCTACTGTGTATATTTTCTCAATGTTTCATTAAGATTTTTAAAAAAATTTTTGTCATCACTCTCATAATTCTCCTACCATCCTGAAACAGACAACAAATCAATATTTGAAACATTTTCAGAAACTATGTCATTTTACTAAATGTTATTATAACATTGAGAAACCACTGCTGTCTCAATGCAGGCTAGGGTACAAAGCCTACTCTACCTACTTAAGAAACTCCTATGCCCTAAACCCAGGAACATTATCAAAACCAATTTCAATCCTGGAGGAGTCTTATTTCAAAGGAGAAAGAGACTATGTTCCCTTTTTTTCACATTCTTTTTTTTTAACCCCAACTCTGAGGTCCTGGGGATAATTTACATATGGCTTAAGGTCAGCCTCAGATCTAGGGTTTCCCCATGACAGGAAAGTAGAAAGCTATCCAATGTACGATAAGAATCAGGTTTTCAGCAGTGTTAATTACCATATCCAGTCAAAAAATTGATACTTAAAACCATGTCAACCTAAAGCAGTTTGTGGGACTGCTGATTAAGGCTTTTACATTTCACCTTGGCTCTGCACTGTCCAAACAACTCCTGGTACATGACTTCTGACAAAATAGGACACGCTTGGACTGATACTCTCATTGGGGATCTTTTCTTCAAGAACACTAAAGCAATTACTGGGAACACCTTCTCTTGCCACCATTCAGCTCTGACCAAAAGGACTCAAATCCCTCAGACCAACAAGGTTTCCTATAAGCCTGCATATGTTCATCTAGGGGATAGATATTCATTCACCTAAAACCAGGAAAGAAAAATACAACAAACACAAAAGTGGAAAAAATAGACAAGAGCACAGACACAAAATTCACTTAGCTGAGTTCCCAAGCATTAGTTACCATGTGGTTGAGGTCACCCCAATGCTGGAATAAAGAAGGGCCCACTCTTCCTCACCTCTGATTGGAAGTCTCAGAATTACATGATGCTATATGGAGAGTCAAAAAGAAAAGGGGAAAAAAGAAAGAGAAAAGAGAGAGGAAGAGAAACAGAAACAGGGAGATAGAGAGAGACAGAGAGAGGAGAGAAGGTGTCTCCTCTTTTAACTCTCAGCATCCCATCACTCCCCAGTCCCTGTCACAGCCAGGAAGGAGAAAGAAGGTGACACGCAGGGTTTGTCACGTTATACCAAAATGCCACATCTTTTCAGTGTTGGATATATGACATGACCAGCAGCATGCAGGGACACCATCACATTCAATGCACCCAAATACTGAGTCACACTCAACTGGCCAAAACCAAGCTAGGAATGTGTATGTATGTACATTTCTACAACCCACATTACATTCATAACTTTTCTGTTTTGTTAAATTATAATAACAGCCCTTCTGATCAGCAATGATGTTGTATTTTGACAGGCCCCAGGAAAAGAAAGTACATTGCTTGGCTACTGTACCAATATTCTCATTCATTAGTGTAATTTAATTTACAGATTGTAACTTTATAACTTATAGTTATAAAATTTATAACTTACAGTTATAAACTAACTTACAATTATAAAATTAACAGAGTTGACTGAGACTAATAAATGTTAAGTGATTTGCCCAGAGTCATACGGGTAGTGTGTAGGACAGGCAGGATTTGAATCCAGATCTTTGTGACTTCAATTCTAGCACTCTAGCAAATGAGATTATGTAAAACATTTTTTTTACCACAACATGCTATATAAATGTCAACTATTATTATATTATCCACTATACCATGATATCTCTTTATCAGTTCCAGGCTGTTTAGTATCAGCATTAAATGCGATTAATAACAAGAATTTTTAAAACAAACAGGATATGTCACCCATACACACATATTTCAGTTCTGTTTGTTTTAAAAATTCTTGCTGATATTTGCTGGTCTCAAATGTTGCAAGTCAATCTAGATTCTTTAAGATTGAATGGTCTAGTCAATAAAATTAATGCATATATTGAGAGAGAACATGGAATAGTGACTGGAGACACAATCACTCAGCCAAGGAGAGATGGATTTAAATTTTATCACTCCCACATACAACTTGTGTGACCCTAGGAAAGTCACTTAACCTCTGGAGGTAGTTTTCCATGCCTATAGGTTAAGGAGAAAGTGCTAACCTGAATAAGTTCTTCAACGGGATCTCTCTATATCACAAAATCTCAAAGCCATCCAAAAATATTTTTTTAAAGCTTGTATTAGTTCCCTAGTTCACTTTGAACTTTAGCTACAGTATCAAAAAGATGAAGAAAGCTATTAATGATGTAATATTTGCGATGTTCAATAGCCAAAATTTAATTCAGCATATATTTACTAATTACCTACTGTTTGTAGAAAACTATACTAGAAAATGGAGAAGTTATAAATTTTAGCTAAGACAAGGGTTCTTTTCTCGTATAACTTAATAGAGCAATGACA